TTTACTTAGTTCTCTCTGATTTCTTTCATCTCTCTATATATTTTGTTTTTAATGTAGAGTTTGCCTATATTTTGTTAGATTTGTATCTACTTATTTCTCCTTTGTGATTTCAAATCTTGTTTGTTTTCTTGATTCTGCTTCCCCCACCCACCTTTGAATTTTGGTTTATTGTAAATGGTATTTTTAAAATTCAATTTTCAGTTGTCTGCCATAAAAGTAGTTGATTTTTGTATATTGACTTTATATCCTGTGACTTTCCTAAATGCATATGTTAGTTCTGGTAGTTTTATTGTAGATAGTTGGAATTTTCTTATACCAAAAATTATATCTTCTGAATGGAGATGATTTTATTTCTTCTTTTCCTATTTGTGTGTCTTCTATTTCTTTTTCTTGCCTTATTTCACTGGATAGAAAGTCCAGTGCGACACTGAACAGGAGTGCCTTGTTCCTGGATTTAGGAGTAAAACATTAACTCTTTCACCATTAAATATGTTAGCAGTAAGTTTTTTAGATGGACTTTATCAGGTTGAGCAAGTTCCATTTTATTCCAAGTTTTCTGAATTTTTATCGTGAATGGATGTTGAATTTTGTCAGGAAATTTATCTGCAACTATTGAGATGATTGTATAGATCTTTTATTTCTTGATGTGGTGAATTACATTGCTTTTTGACTATTAAACCAGCTTTGCATTCCTGGGATCAAGCACACTTGTTCATGATTTATTTTCCTTTTTATATATTATTGAATAATGATTCTGAGATATTTTATTCAGGTACTTTTGTATCCTTATTCATGAGGGATATTGATCTATAGTCTTTTTTTTTTTTTGAGACAGAGTCTTGCTCCATTGCCCGGCTAGAGTGCCGTGGCATCAGCCTAGCTCACGGCAACCTCAGACTCCTGGGCTCAAGTGATCCTTCTGCCTCAGCCTCCCAAGTAGCTGGGACTACAGGCATGCGCCACCATGCCCGGCTAATTTTTTCTATATATTTTTAGTTGTCCAAATCATTTCTTTCTATTTTTAGTAGAGATGGGGTCTCGCTCTTGCTCAGGCTGGTCTCGAACTCCTGACCTTGAGCAATCCACCTGCCTCGGCCTCCCAGAGTGCTAGGATTACAGGCGTGAGCCACCGCGCCTGGCGATCTATAATCTTTTTATGCTGTCTTTGTTTTAGAATCAGGAAAATGCTGACCTCATTAATTGATTTGATAAATTTTCTAAATTAATTTGATTTCTGTTGTCTGTAAGAGATTATATAGAATTGATATTATTCCCTTAAATTTTGAAAGAATTTACCAGTAAAACACCTGGCCTTAGATTTTTTTTTTTATGAAAGATGTTAAACTATGAATTCATTTTCATTAATAGACGTGAATTCCTCTATTTCACATAGGTTATCTGTTTCATCTTGGGTGAGTTTCAAGAGTTTATGGCTTTTCAGGAATTTTACCATTTCATATAAGTTGTCAGATTTGTGTGCAAAGTCATTCATATTATTATTGCCTTATTTACTCTTAGCACCTGAGATTTATAATCATATTCTTGCTTTCATTCCTGATACATGTTTTGACTTGTGCATCTAACTTTTTTGCTCTTTGGCAGTTCTGTAAGATGTTTAGCAGTTTTCAAAGAACCTGTTTTTAGTTGCATTGATTTTTTTGTGCTTTTTGATCTGTGTTCTGTTACAGTAATATCTGTTCTTTATTATTAATATCTTCTTTTTGCTTGTTCTAGATTTATTTTGTTCCAAGTATTGATTTGACATCTTTTTAAAAATATAAGCATTTCATACTATAATTTTCCCTCTACACTCTGCTTTAGTTGCATTCCACAAATTTTGGTATATGGTGTCTTCATTTCCCTTCAACTCAAAATATTTTCTTGTTTGCTGTGAGACTTCCTCTTTTGAACCATGGGTGATTTTGAAGTTTACTTTCTAAGCGATTGGAGATTATCCTTCTGTTATTGATTTCTAGTTAAATTCCTTTATGTTCCGAGAGCATACTTTGGTGTGTTCAGTTCTTTTAAATTGGGCTTCTCAAGTTTGTGTCTTTTACCAAATTTGGGAAATTTGGGGTGTGTTCATCCATTATCTCTTCAAGTATTTTTTCTGCCCTACACCCATTCTTCTGTGACTTCAGTGACATGAATATTAGATTTTTTGTTAGTGTCCCTACAGGTTCATAAGCAGGCTCTGTCAGTTTTTTGTTTGTTTACTTTTGGCCAATCTTTTTTTATTTTTAATTTTTTTTATTTCAACATATTATGGGGGTACAAATGTTTAGGTTACACATATTGCCTTTGCCCCACCCGAGTCAGAGCTTCAGGCGTGTCCATCTACCAGATGGTGTGCACCGCACCCATTAGTCGTGAATATACCCAACCCCTCCTCTCCTCTCCCACCTGCCTGACACCTGATGAATGTTACTACTATATGTGCACATAAGTGCCAATCAATTCATACCAATTGGATGGTGAGTACATGTGGTGCTTGTTTTTCCATTCTTGTGGTACTTCGCTTAGTAGAATAGGCTCCAGCTCTATCCAGGATAATGCAAGAGGTGCTAGATCACCATTGTTTTTTGTGGCTGAGTAGTACTTTTTTCTCTTTGTTGTTCAAACTGGATAATTTCTGTTAATCTATCTTTAAGTTTACTGTCATCTCAAATGTTAGTATGTAGTCCAACTAGTGCATTTTAAAATTTTGGTTATTGAATTTTTTCAGTTCTAAAATTTCCATTTGTTTCCACTTTATGTATTGATTCTCTGCTGACAGAGAATCAATACTCCCTTCAAGAGTTCCCTTTCCATCCCTTTCAAGAGTTCACCCTTACTTTTGGTGAATTTTTATGATAGCTCTATTAAAATCTCTTCTAATTCTAACTTCTATGTCACTTTGGTATTGATGGACATCTGTTGATTGCCTTTTCCTGTGTGAGTTGAGATTTTCTTTCCCCTTTTTTATATGTTGAGTAATTTTGGATTGTGTCTTAGGTATTTGAACACTGTGTCACGTGATTCTTGATCTTCTTTAAATTCTATGGAGAATATTGATTATTTATTTATTTATTTATTGTGAGCAGGCAAAGAGTCTAGTTGAGCTAGGGCTGAAAGTTCCAACCAGCCACCTTTGGATTGTGGTTTCAGTATCAGTTCTCTTTTCAAAGCCTTTGTCATGCTCTCTAGATCTGTTCTGAGTATACACCTCCCAGAGGCTTGTATGGGATCTGCGTGGTGATTTTAGTTTATTTCTTAGTTTATGTCTGAAGTAAATATCTATTATCTATCTAGGATCAGATCCAAGCAGGTGCTGTTCAGGGGTGAACCCAGGAATTTACATAGAGTTTTATGGAGTTACTTTCCTGAGTTTCTGATATTTTGTGATCTCCCTGGTATTTTGTTTTGCTAGAGCCCCTTTTTTCTTCTACTTGGAAAGCTGTTGTTTTGTTTTTCCTGCAATTGCACCTATGTCTAATGCAAAGCAGTGTGTGCTTTTGTTGTCTCCCATTCCCTGGGGTTCGTGCTTTGCAGTTGGCAGGAAGATATTTAGATATTTGAAAATAAATAAAATTTTATAGTTCCTCTTTTCTCAAATATAATTGTATGTAGGCCTGGCCATATTTTTATATTTCAAGTCATTAATGACAGAGATGAACTTTTTTACTGAAATGACTTATAGAACTTTCTTAAAAATTTTTAACATGGTGTTCTGAGAACATTATTGTTCATTGGAATATTGCCTTCCCTCTTAGGTCAAAGTCTTATTGTCCATATGATATCGCCAGTAAAACTGTAATTTATGTATGCTAGAAATTTGGCAAATGCTTAGTCTTCGCTGTAAATCTACATTACCTGTTGAACTTTTCTAAACACACATTCCTAGGCCCTATCATTCTGAGTCAGTGGGATGTATTATAATAAGTAAAGAAGAAAATAACCTAAATGCTCATCTCTGCTTTTATAGTACTCGTGTTTCAATGCAGGACATTATTTATGGTCTAAGATTCAGAAAAGATGTATCTGAGGAAGATTGTGATGTTAGTGCTCCTTGAAGGTTGCTGGTTCAGTGTGTGTCCTGAGGCAGTGAGGTACCATCTGAACAAAAAAGATATTGAGCCGCAGGTGGGCTGCCTTGGTCAGGGGGTCAGACCCTCACCATCATCCAGTTGTATCCTGTACTGGTTCATCTTTCTTGAGGTTGTCATTTGAATCATTGAGCATATAGCTTCTTATTGCTAAACCAGTTCAGCAAGGAGTGGAACTTAATATTATATCATTTTCTTTATCATGTTTAAGGATAAAATCTTTAGTTTATTTCAGCTATTTTTGGAGGCATGCATTTAGTAAAGTATTTAAGGTATACCAATCATAAGTGTACAGCTTGAACTTTTCATTTGTATGGTTATGTAACCACCATACAGTTAAGACGTAGAATATTTCCAGTTTCCTAATGTTCTTTCTCAGTCAGTAACCTGCCTCCCCTGCGTCTACCACTATTCTGATTTCTGGCACCACATATGAGTTTTGCCTGTTCTCAGACTTCATATAAATGAAGTCATGCAATAAGTATTCTCATGTATCTAGTATTTTTAATCAAATGGTTTTTTGTGGCCAGAACTTGTTATTTAATATTGTCGTTTCTGGCTCCTTCGTACTCAAAACACATCTAAACCAAATCAGATTCAGTTGACTTTTATTTTACATTTCTCTTAGGTGAGATAATCTAAAAGTTCTTGAGGAAATTTCTCATATGTCCAGTGATTCTCTACTTCAGCCACTCATATAGTGTCTGTTATTTATTTACACAGATTATTCTGGCGCTTTTTTCCTCTTCCACATTTCCTTCTACCAGTGCATAGAGAGAAAAAGGAGATTTCTAAAATTTTATCTCCCATTTGTTCTTTGCCATGCTAGCATTTGGCTTGGGGTGAATTCAGGTTGAACTGAATGCCTACAGTTATTGTATTAATCTTGTGTTTTTCTTTTCTTCTTTCTGACAGCACGACGGAAGTGGTTCATTGCACGATATTCAGCTATCATTGCCATCCAGTCCAGAACCAGAAGATGGTGACCAAATATATAAGGTATGACTACATAGTCATGCTGAATTTTTTAAAATTCTTTTTTATTACTAAAATAATAATGCAATAACAACAAAAAGATTTAATAATAAATATATGAAGGCCTGGAGCTTTTCTGTCTTGGGTATTAATTAGTTTTGCTCTTAACTTTTGCTACTTTGTTAAGTTGAAGTAGTATCTCTGTGGTGCTTCCATTTGAATTTATCAGTTGGATAATTATTTGTTCCTATATTACTGCTGGTGCAGAATTCTTTTTTAAAAATCATTGCTTATAACTATGAGTAACAGTTTTTAAAATATGACTACCAATAAAAATTAAAATGGTAATAGGCAATTCTTATATATAATCATAACATTGAAGAAACATACTGAAAATAAGATTAATTTGTTTATCTTTTTATCTTAAAAATACAATTATAGAATCTAGAGGTGTTTTTTTAATTTCAAAATATTGATTAAGGGGTACAAGTATTTCTGTTTCAAGGATATCTTGTGTAATGCTTGTCAGGGCTTTGATATGCCCATTACCAAAATAGTGTTCATGGTATCCAATAGGTAAGGTTTTATCCCACACTCATTCTCCCACTCTCCCCCCTTCTTGGTTTCTCATGTCCTTTATATCTCTTTGTGCCCATGTGTACCTGTCTATTAGCTTATTTTATTATTAATAACTTATTATATTAATGAGAACATATGGCGCTTGGTTTTTCATTTCCGAGATACTTCACTTAGATTAATGGTCTCCAGTTCCATCTGAGTTGCTGCAAATGACATTATTTCATTCCTTTTATGGCTGAGTAGTACTCCATGGGGTGTGTGTGTGTGTATGTATGTATACTGCATTTTCTTTATCCACTCATGAATTGAAGGGCACTTAGGTTGATTCCACATGTTTGCAATTGTGAATTGTGCTGCAGTGAACATTTGAGGACAGGTGTCTTTTTGATAAAATAGCTTCATTTCCTTTGGGTAGATACCCAGCAGCGAGATTGCTGGATCGAATGGTAGGTCAAAATTTATTTCTTTGAGGAATCTCCGTACTGTTTTCCATGGAGGTTGTACCAATTTACAGTCCCACCAACAGTGTAGAAGTGTTCCTTTCTCTGTGCATCCATGCCGATATCTAGTCTGTTTTGACTTTTTAATAATGACCATTCTGCTAGGGGTAAGGTGGTATCTCATTATAGTTTTAATTTGAATTTTCCTGATGATTAGTGATGTTGAGCATTTTTCTTTTCTTTCTTTTTTTTTTGTTTTTTGCCATTTGCCTATCTTCTTTTGAAAAACTTCTGTTCATGTCTTTTGCCCACTTTTTGATGGGATTGTTTGTTGTTTTCTTGCTGAGTTTTTGAGTTCTTTTAGGTTCTGGATATCAGTCCTTTGTAAGATGTATTCTGACAGAGGACTGATAGATAATTACAGATAATTCGCAAACTTACATAGTTTGCGAATATTTTCTAGCATTCTGTAGTTATCTATTCACTCTGTTGATTACTTCCTTTTCTGTGCAGAAGCCTTTTAATTTAATTAGGTCCCATTAATTTATTTTTGTTTTTGCTATATTTGCCTTTGGGGTCTTAGTAATAAATTCTTTGCCTAGGCTGATGTCTTTAGACATCTTCTAGTCTACAGCTTCTAGAATTTTTATTGTTTCATGTCTTACATTTAAGTCTTATCCATCTTGAATTAATTTTTATATATGGTGAGAGAGAGGGGTCCTGTTTCATTCTTCTGCATGCGGCTGCCCAGTTTTCCCAACACCATTTACTGAATAGGACTTCCTTTCCCCAGTGTATGTTGTTGTCTGCTTTATTGAATATCAGTTGGTTGTAGGTAGATGGTTTTATTTCTAGGTTCTCTATTCTGTTCCATTGATCTATGTCTGTATTTTTATATCAGTACTGTGTTGTTTTGGTCACTATAGCCTTGTAGTAAAATTTGAATTCAGGTAATGTGGTGCCTCCAGATTTGTACTTTTTACTTAAGATTGTTTGGCTATTCAGACTCTTTTTTGGTTCCAAATGAAGCTTAGGATTATTTTTTCTAGATTTGTGAAATATGATGCTGGTATTTTGATGGGGATTGCACTGAATCTATAAATCACTTTGGGCAATATGGACATTTCAATGATGTTGATTATATCAATCCATGAGCATGGGATGTCTTTCCATTCGTTTGTGTCTTCTCTGATTTCTTTCATCATTGTTTTGTAGTTCTCCTTGAAGAGGCTTCTGACCTCCTTTGTTAAGTATATTTGTAGATATTTTATTTTCCTTTTAGTTATTGTGAATGGTATCAAGGCCTTGATTACACTTTCTCCTTGACTGTTATTAATCCATAAAAATGTTACTGATTTGTGTACATTGATTTTATAAGATGAGACTTTGCTGAATTTATCAGTTCCACGAATTCTTTGGTGGAATCTTTGGGGTTTTCTAGATACAAGATCGTATCGTCAGCAAATGGGGATAGTTTGACCTCCTCTTTGCTGATTTGGATGCCATTTATTTCTATCTCTTGCCTGATTGCTCTGGTTAGGACTTCTAATACTATGTTGAATAGAAGTGGTGACATTGGATACCCTTCCTTGTCTTGTTCTAGATCTTAGGAGGAATGCTTTCAACTTTTTCCCATTCAGTATGATGTTGGCTGTGAGTTTGTCATATATAGCTTTTGTAATTCTTCCGTATGTTCCTTCTGTGCCTAGTGTGTTGGGGGATTTTATCATTGAAGAATGCTGGCTTTTATTGAATGATTTTTCTGCATCTATTGAGATGATCATGTGGTCTTTGTTTTTGTTTCTGTTTATGTGATGAATCACGTTTATTGATTTGCCTATGTTAAACCATCATTGCATCCCTAGGATGAAACCCACTTGATCATAGTAGATTATCTTTTGGATGTGCTATCAAATTCAGTTTGCCAGTATTTTGTTGAGGTTTTTTGCATCTGTGTTCGTAAGAAATACTGGTTTGTAGTTTTTTATTATTTTGTCCTTTCCTGGCTTTGGTATCAGGATGACACCAGCCTCATAGAATGAGTTAGGGAGGATTCCCTCCTTGCTGTTATGGAATAGTTTCTGTAGGATAGGTACCAATTCTTCTTGGTTGGTCTGGTTTAATTCGGCTGTTAATCCATCTGGTGTGCAGCTTGTTTTTGTTGGGAGATTTTTTATTACTGCTTTAATCTTGCTGGTCGTTATTGGTTTGTTCAGGGTTTCTATTTCTTCCTGATTCAGGCTTAGGAGATTGTATGTTTCCAAGAATTTATCCATTTCATCTAGGTTTTCTAGTTTGTTTGCATAGAGGCTTTTGTAGTATTCATGGATGATATTTTGTATTTCTGCTCTTATCAGTTGTAATGTCTCCTTTTTCATTTCTGATTGAGGTTATTTGAGTGCTTTATCTTCTATTTTGGGTTAATGTGGCTAATTTTTTTTTTTATTTCAGCATATTATGGGGGTTAATTCTTTATTCATTTTTTTTTTATCTTTTCAAAGAACCAGCTTTTTTGTTTCATTGATCCTTTGTATTGTTTTAATTCCCATTTCATTTACTTTTGCTCTAAGCTTTGTTATTTCTTTTCTTCTACTGGCTTTGGGTTTGGTGTATTCTCCTTTTTCTAGTTCCTTGAGATGTGACATTAGGTTGTTATTTTATGATCTTTCTTTCTTTTCAATGGAGGCATTTAAGGCTATCAACTTTCCCTTTGGGGCTGTTTTTGTTGTATTGCATAGATTTTGAAAACTTGTGTCACCTTTGTCATTTAGTTCGAGGAATCTTTTGATTTCCATCTTAATTTCATCATTGACTTGATGCTCATTCAGAGCAGGTTGTTTAATTTCCATGACTTTGTGTAGATTGGAATGTTTCTCTTAAATTGATTTCTAGTTTTATTCCCATGTAATCTAAGAAGATACATGGTATGATTTTAATTTTTTTGAGTTTACTGAGACTTGTTTTGTGGCTTAAAATATGATCCATGTTGGAAAATGTCCCATGTGCTGATGAGAAAAATATATATTCAGTAGTTTTGGGGTAGAATATTCTGTAAATGTCTTTAGGTCCATTTGTTCTAGAGTCCTATTTAAAGTTCGGTGTTTCTTTATTCATTTTCTGCATTGATGATCTGTCCAGTTCTTTCAGTGAGGTGTTAAGTCCTCTACTGTTAAGATGCTAGTATTTGTTTCTCTGCTTAAATCTAGAAGAATTTGTTTTATGAAACTGGGAACTCCTGTGTTAGGTACATATATATTTAGGATTATTATGTCTTCTTGTTGAATTGCTCCATTTACCATAATGTAATGACTATTTTTGTCTTTTTTTTTAACCATTGTTGATTTAAAGTCTATTTTATTTGATATGAGAATGGCTACACATGCTTGCTTTTGGTTTTTATTTTTGTGGAATATTTTTTCCATCCCATTTCCTTGAGTCTGTGTGAGACCTTGTGGTTTAGATGAGTTTCTTGGGTACAAAAAATATTTGTGTTGTGTTTTTTCATCCATTCAGCCAGTCTGTGTGTCTTTTAAGTGGGGCATTCAGACCATTCACATTGAGTGTTAGTATTGATATGTGATGTAGGATGTTGTTTCTGTTCAACATGTTGGATATACCGTATTGTTTTGTTTTTCCTCTTGTGCTATTGTTTTATAAAAGCTGTGAGCTGTAACTTCTGTTTTTACACTGGTTGCTATCTATTGTGCTGTTGCATGTATAATGCATTCTTGCGCATTTCCTGTAGGGCAGGTCTAGTAGTGACAAATTCCCTTAGTGTTTGCTTGTCTGGGAAAGACTTTATTTCTTCTTTATTTATGAAACTTATTTTAGAAGGATACAAAATTCTTGGCTGACATTTATTCTGTTTAAGGAGACTAAAGATAGGAAGAGATTCCTTTCTTGCTTGTAAAGTTTCTTCTGAGAAGTCTGCTATTAGTCTGATGGGTTTTCCTTTGTAAGTTTCTTGATGTTTTTGCCTCTAAGCTTATAGGAGTTCCTTCTTCA